TGGTTTCAATCCCCAGTACCTCCATTAAACATAAATAAATACACCTAATTACCTACCCCCCCAAAGAAATATAATCACTGTATCAGTAGTACATTTGGCACAATTAACAGTAATTCATTAATAGCTTTCAATACTGGTCTTGTTTTCAGTTGCCTCCACTTGTTTGAAAAATGCCTTTTCACAAGTGGTTTGTTCAAATCAGAATTCAAAGTTATTATGTTATTATTATTTGTATTTCTGTTGTACCTACAGTTATTTTCCTTTTTTTATTCTGTATTTTTATCTTTTTGCATCTTGTCTCCTTTTCTTGATTAGTCTTGCCAGAGGGGTGCCTGCTTTGGTTCTGTTAATTTTCTCTAGTATTTCCCGTGGCTGTTATTCTCTTTTATTTTTGTTCTTATCTTTATTTATTCCTTCCTTATTTTGGGGATTTGTTCTATTATAGTTTCCCCATCTCCTTAAATTTACCACCATCTTACTAGTAAAGCTATAAATTTCCCTCTCAGAACGTTTTAGCTGTGTTTCCCAAATTTTGACCTGTGGTATTTTTATTATCATTCAGTTTAACAGAGTTCTTAATTTCCTCTCTGATTTCTTATTGAACCGCAGTTTTGGAGGGTTTTGTTGGTGGTGATTTTCTTTCTTTCCTTTCTTTCTTTTTTTGTATTATATTAGTTTCCCAAGGTATGAGGGATTTTTAAAACTTTAAAAAAAAAACCTTTATGGCGTTGTAGTCTTTTGTTACTGATTTATAACTTCATCTGTTGTGGTTGGAGAAGATACTTTGTATGATAGCTCTTTTTTCAAGTCTCTTGAGATTTGTTTTGTGGCCTCACATGGGGTCTGTCCTGGAGAATGTCCCCTGTGCACCTTAGAAGAACATGTGGCATTGTAGCCTGAGATCCTGATGTGTGTCATTCATCCTCAGGTGGCCACCAGGGCTCCCGCTCTGGCCCACTCTGGGGTTGGCTTTTGTGCGTGTTCTGTGTGTATGCCAGGGTAGTGTTCATTCCTGATGTGCTCGGTGGGGCTCGGACGTGTTAAATGTGAGGTTTCCTCTCTGCAGTGTCCCCACCAACATGGAGCCCCTGGAGCAGCTGGGCCCGGCGCTGAGGTTCCGCTCCAGCTTGGACAGCGACCCCATGTCAGGGTAAATAAAACCTACAGGCTGGCTGCATCTTCCTGGCAGAGGTGACGAGGGGGCTCAGGTGGGCTAGGGTGAGGGCTTTGGGGGCTGGGGCCCGAGAGGAGCTGTCACCATGTCTGCCCTCCAGGACCTTTGATCCTTGTGTTGAGAAGCTGTGCCCTTATCATTGTGCTGGAGGTGGGGGTGACTGATTGAGGGTTGACAATTGAAAGGTCAAGTATGGGAGCTCATATTGACCTAGGTGATGGAGTGGGCTCTGGTGACCAGTGGGTGTAGTTGATGGGGAGGGAGTGACAGTGATAGGGACGATAGTAGCAGAAGGTGATAGTGGTGAGGTGATAGGGGCTACAGTGCTGAGTGTGTGGTGATGGTGGTGGCTGCAGTGGTGGTGGTGATAGGGTGATGGTGGATGTGTGGTAATGGGGCAGGAGTGGTGGCCAAGTGGCTGATGGTAATGGGGGCTGTGGGCATGTAAGGTGCTGTGTATGGTGATGAGGTGACAGGCAGGTATATGGTGGTAGGAAATGACAGTGGTGATGATGGTGGTAATGCAGTAGTGGTGGCAGGGGGATGTGTTAGGAATGTTGGAGATGTGTATTGGTGTTGAGGTAATGGTGGTAACACTGACAGTGATGGGGGTGATGGGGGTGCGGGGGTGCATGGTGATGGGGTGATAATGGTAAAGATGCTGGGAGAAATGATGGTGTGCCCAGTCCCCGTGTCGGGGTTTTTGTGGGTCGTAGTATTGTCAGGGCCCTCCCTTCAGAGGACCAGGAAACAACCTAGTCTCCCAAGCTCCGGTCCCCTTGGCCAGGTTCCCACCCTGTCTTGTTGCCACCACGATGGGTGTTGTGGTACACGTTTCATGTACATGCAATGGGCGTGAAGCTGTTCGTGTGTTTTTCTAGGGGAGTCTGTTCCACGTGCTGTCTGCCCTCTACCTTGGTGGATCTAGAAGCCCCTCTCATAGAAGATCCAACCAGGCCTGGTTGGCCCTTTGGAGGAAGAGACTTTGGGCTCCAGTCTGTGTTGGGTGGCAGGGTGAAGGTCCAGGTTCTTGTCCTGCTTCATCTTGTCCTGTGGCGAGTGTGGGGCCTCTCCGGCTGCAGAGGAATCAGGCAGGGCTCCTGTGAGTCAGGGAGGGGAAGAAGTACACCTCCCTCCTCATCCAGGGAGCAGTCCTTTGCGGAGGCCCAGGACTGTGGGCTTTCAGTCAGCCCCATTGGAGATTCTGATGTCCGGCCAGTGTGGGCCTTATTCTGAGGACAGTGGGCACCACGGGAGCTTCTGGGCTGTGCTGGGGTCTGAATGGTGTTTGAAGAAGGACACCACTCTGACTGCTCCCTGGAGGATGCCAAAAGCAGGCGGGGAGGATGTGGCATGCGGCCAGCAGAAGGCAGCCATGGCTTCCTGGTCCCTGCTGTTGGAGACCAGAGGGAGGCTGGGCTGCCTGTTAGGACGGTGGCTGAGGGAGGGGCTGAGGTGGGGGTGCCCTGGTCTCTGCCTTGTGCAGGGGATACGGGATGGATGAGGAGTGGGTTTTGTTTTGGGTGAAGGGCTCAGATTTGGGTGGGATTGAGTGTGTTGAGGACTGAGTGTGAGGTCAGCAATATTTGAAAAATGGCCACAGGAGGAGCTGAGAGGGAGGGTTTAGAGAAATGGAAGGAAAGAAGGAGGAGACCTGGTGTGTGAGTATTGAGAAATGTGGCTTCCACATTGCAGAACGGGGTGGGGGTGGGGGATTGGGGCGGAGGAGGCGTGGCTTCCAGGCCAGCTCAGGAGCACCTCTCCCTCTGGGAGGTGTGCCAGCCCTGCTGCCTCCCACCTGGGCCACCTTGCTGTCCGCTGGGAGTGCACAGGATGCTCTCTCCCTTGGGCTCCAACCCCGTCCTGCCCCATCTCTCCTCGGCTTCCTGAGCAGAGCTCCAGCATCTCACGTACCATCTGCCTTATAAAGGTTTAGGGCTTGAGGAGCAAGGGTGGAGCAAGGGAGGGTGGAGGGATGGTGTCATCAGTGACATGTCTCCAGTGAATGCCCCCAGGTGGGCTGCCTGTCTGGGCCCCAAGGAGACATCCTCTCCTGTGTGCTGCCCCCTAGGCCAGGGGCACTGTTGTTTGTCCACTGGAGCGATGATTCCTTGGTGGGGTCCAGCCCTGGTTAGAAGCTCAGGGGATACCTGACAGGGGAGGGACCCTATGTGCTAAGGGGCCTGCATCAACTCTGCTCCCCTCCCCACCTCTGACCCCCTCATCCTTCGTTCTTGGACCTTCACCCTTGGCTCTTCCTTAGGGTGACTCCTTGGGCTCCCCAAGAATGAGGCACCAGGTCAGAGCACAGAGATCCAGATGAGACCATACCTGTCTGTCACAGCCTTGATAGGCGGTGTCCTCCCTTGATGTGGGGTCCATGCTCCCCATAGCATGTCCATGTTACCTGTGGGTCTTCCGCCCATCCCCCACTTTAGCAGGTGACTCCCATCCTGCCCTGCTGATGGTCAGTGGCTGGTTCCCTCCTGGAGCTTCCTTTGTTCCCTGACGTGGTTCTTTTGAGTCCTGATTTCATTGTCTCTCCCCAGCTCCTTGCCACTCACAGGATGGTCAGGCGGGTATGGTGTATTTTTAATCACTTGAGTGTTGGAACCTCTGGATACAGGCCCCAGATGGTCACTGCAGACCCTCTGAACTGACTGTGCTGTGATATTACGGGGGAAGTGGGGGGTCCATTAGGTGAGATGTGGGCTTGGCAAGGAAGTGATGTTTTGAGCTGAGGTCTGAAAGGTGAACAGGAATTAATTATGTGGGGATGGGAAGAAGAGAAAGGCAGATGGGCAGGAGGAGCTGCATGTGCAAAGGCCCTGAGGTAGGACACAGCATGGTGCTTTCAAAAGCTGAAAGAAAAAAAAAAAAGCTGAAAGAAAAAAAAAAAAGCTGAAAGGAGGGTGATGTGGCTGGGGCACAGAGGAGGGAGGGTGGGAGTCCCAGGTCACACAACGAGTTTTATTTAGACTTTTAATTAAAGGTTAACATCTGCCTTTTTGTAAGAATTACTATCTAGTGAGACAAATCCTAGATTTTGCCCCTCTTTTTATTGTCAACCCTAATATACATATACAGAAAAGTACAGATACACATACAGTTTAACAAGTAAATTATAGAGCACATTCCTATATGATCCCAAGAGCTACAGGAGCCATACTAGGCTCTTGAGCAAGAATGACAAGATCAGACTCAGCAGCGTGGCCTAGGGGACTTGAGGCATCTTCATCATCCAGTGAGGCAGGTTCAGGTTTAGGCGGGTTTGTGGCTTGCAGCATGAGCTGGCGGAGAGGAGGGGACAGGCTGGTGGGGCCCCTGGGTCTGCTGGTGGGCTTAGATAGCTGCAGGTGCCCATCGAGGGGACGGCTGGAACAGGGCTGGCGGGCTGAGCTGGTGAGCAGGAGTGTGGTTTGGGCACTCTGGGCCGGGCATCTCTCACATCTCTCGGACCCCGTGTTAGTGAAGTCCTAGACAGCGAGGTGAACGCCTGGGCAGGCTGGGCTGGGGGTGCGGCTCTGGCAAGTCGGCCAAGTGCTTCCCTCCCTCTCCTGGCCCCTCTTGAGTGCAGCTGAGAGCAGCTGGGGTGCCCGGGCCACGCTGTGTCTTTAAGAGGCCCCACGGCTCTGCTGCCGCTGACGTCAAGGGGAGGGGAGGGCGGAGGAGATTCGCTTTACTTTTCCTCGAAAGGGGAGGAGATTGAAACTGGCCCTATGATGGAAAGGGGAAGTCTGGGGGGTGCCAGTGGCCCCTGAGTGAAGGCGGAAGCTAACATGGGGTGAGCTTGGGCGCCATCCTGTGTGTGTATAAGTGTGAGTGTGAGAGAGAGACAGAGACAGAAGAGAGCAAAAGAGAGCAAGAGAGAAAGAGACTGGCGATGGGGACACTGATTGCGGGTGAATGTGCATGTATGTTTCTCCATCTCTGGAACAGCAGCGGGTCTGGGAGGAGCTTGTGGGTGGGTGCAGTGATGGCCCCTTCTGGTTAGGTGGGAAGGCACCTCCTGACTCCGAGGGTCCTGTCTCAGGGCCTTGTTCTGGGTCTCACAGAGGCCAGTGTCTCCTGTTTTTTAACGCAGTTGGGCGTTTTGAGTCTGGGGTGTGAGGGTCTATCCCTAGTCTGTCCCCAGGGTGTGACTCGGCCCAGCTGCCTGTCTGGGTCTGTGAATTGGAAGCCCCTCCATGCAGGGTGGGGCTGGACGGGGCCCCAAGCCTCAGGGGAGGCAGATGTTCACCATGTCCCTACATGTCTTAACATGCTTGCTGCACGTACCTTTTACTAGGACAGCAATTGGCCTCTGGGGAACGGGGCACAGCTCAGGGTTCTGGCTGCCCTTGAAAGTCAGCTTTGGTGAACTTCCCACCCTGGGCCAGCTTTCTCAGAGGCAGGCCCTCCACTCTGTCGCAGTCCTTGCTGAGGGGCCTGTGTCAGGCAGGAAGGCCTCCTCTTCCGGAAGGCAGGGCTCCTCCAGCCCCACTGGCTCTTAACGTACCCACCTGCCCCACTGGTGAGCGCGCAGGAGCCCCAGGGTGCAGGTGAGCCCCTGGCACAGCATTTGGCACCCAGCAGGCTCACTGCCACTCCGGGGGCCAACAGCCCTGCCCTGTGTTCGCTGAGCACCTCTCCTCACTGTCCTGGCCACACTAGACTCCGCTCTCCTGGAACGTCTCCCCATTTTTATCACCTGTGCTTCCCGAGTAATTTTTCTCTCCCATACCTGCCTCCTGTAATGATCTGTGGGTCCCCAGAGGCTGTGAGTTGGTCAGTCTTACCCACTGCTGAGTTTCTGGTTCAAGCCACACAGTGCTCGTGGCACATCCTCTGAGCGTCTGCTGTTGGCGTGGCGGGGGTGGACAAGATGTGTCCTGGGGAAGCACTGGAAGCACTCCCTCCCGTGCTGCTGAGGGTGGGGCGAGGTGCAGACCCTGGGTGAGGTGTTCCATACGGACTCCCAGTCAACCCCATTTGACACTTGAGGAAAGTGATACTGAAAGAAGTTGAAGTTAAACACCCTGGAAGTTGCTCTGTGCGGCCCAGAGTCTCCTCCAGGAAGAGCGGTGCCCCTTGGGAATGAGTGGGGTGTGGACTGCTGGTCTTGGGTAGAAGTGAGAGGCCCTGGGTCATGACTGGCTTTTTGGCAGGTTTGGGACAACTGTAGCCGTTGGTCTGACCATCTTTGTGCTCTCTGTTGTCACCGTCATCATCTGCTTCACCTGCTCCTGCTGCTATTTGTACAAGATGTGCCGCCGACCACGTCGTAAGCATGCCCACCCCCACCCTGCCCCACTGCCCCACTGTGAGCCCTTGTGTGCAGGTACAGACCCCGGGTGGTAAGGGGAGCTGACCAGGGCCCTGATTTGGCTAAGCTGGAGGGAGAGGTGGCAAGCCCGAGGGTTCTAACTGGGGCTCTCTTTGCAGCGGTTGTGACCACCACCACGGCCACCACAGTGGTGCACACTCCTTACCCGCAACCTCCCAGTGTGCCGCCCAGCTACCCTGGACCAACATACCAGGGCTACCACTCCATGTCCCCCCAGCCAGGGGTGCCAGCAGCACCCTACCCGACGCAGTACCCACCACCCTACCCGGCCCAGCCCATGGGCCCTCCGGCCTACCACGAGACAATGGCTGGTGAGTACTGCGGCCAACTCCGGCCCTGCCCAACCCTCCACAGCCCACCATGCCCACAGCCAACCGGTGTTCTCTCCATTTTCAGGAGGTGCAGCCATGCCCTACCCTGCCAGCCAGCCTCCTTACAATCCGGCCTACATGGAACCCCCAAAGGCAGCCCCCTGAGCACAACCCTGCATCTCTGGCTGCCACTCAATCTGCTATATGTGTGTGTGGATGGGTATGCAGGCACGGTCCTTTTCTCCCCATGCGTGGTGTGTGCGTGTGTCCTGTTTGTACACGAGGCTTCGTGTGAAGCTGATGAGGTGGAGAACAGTCCTTGCCAGAGTTGCTGGGCCCACTTGTTCCCCTTCCTCACTTGAAATTATGCTTCCTGAAATTTCAAGCAGAATTCAAAGAACAGTTCTTTTCCAGACCAGCCCAGGGAGACCAGGTGGGGCTTGTCACACTAGGATAGCACAGCATTTTGCGGGCAGGATGCATATGTGTTCTGGTTTCAGAAGAATGGCTAGCTGCCACTTGAGGCTGAGGCTTGTCCCCAGGCTTGTCTTGGAAGAACCTGAGCCATGATGCAGGCAAGTGGGTGAGGCTTGGGAGCCAGCTCAGGTGGATCTCAACCCTTTCGGCAGATAGCCCGTGGGCCCATAGCTCCCCAGAGCCTGGGCCATGCTCAGTGGAGGGTAAGCAGCTTCCTGACAGGAAAACTCCTCAGGTGAAGCCCCACCCTCCCCTGAGCTGTCTGCCTTGACTATTCCTGCATCTCTCCTGGGACCACCTGGAGGCCACATTTACCCAGGGTTCTGGCTCCCCTGGTTGGCCCTGGCCCTTCACCACAGGTGGGCAGGGTGGCCTCTGTCCACCTGCACACTCAGGTGTCCTCCCTGCAGTGTTTGTTTATTTGTAGCTGAACATTTTGCCTGTTTTGTTTCAAAATGTGTGGAATAATTGCTGTGAGACTGGAAGCCCTGGGTCCTGGAGGGAAGTTGCCCTAGAGAGAGGGACCACCTGACCTCTGAGTCCCTGCTCCCCCAGCACCAGCCTTGCAGACCGCCAGCTCCTGCAGCCCAGTCCACGGTTTGTCCTGGCAGTGGGGACACCTGGGCCAAGGGGTCGTCTGGACCAAAGGAGGAGGGGGACCCTGGGTGGCTGGTCTGGCCTAGACACAAATACCTCGGTGTTCCCTGTCCCTCTGTTAATGTTTCACCACATCTGTCTTAGCTTTGTACCTGTTGATGTGTTTGGAGAGTCTAGTTTATAATAAATGCAAATATTTAGAGCTTCTGGCCCCTTGTTTATAATAAATGCAAATATTTAGAGCTGCTGGCCTTGAATATCAGGTCAGGTACCATTCCCACCCACTATTTGGAGTTCTACATTTTCCCTGTGATTTGGGCTCAGACATCTGACCATCCTGCTGGGGAGGGTGATGGACAGAAGACTGCCATTTTCTGCGCCCGCGGCCCAGGCCTCTGAATGTGTGCAGGAGTACAGAAGGCTCTAAGACTGCCATGGAGGGCAGAGGTGAGTGACCACTCAGTGCTGGGGGTGGGGATCTTTATTTGTCAGATGCTCCTTCACGGTCTACTGCCCGGGTCTGGCAGGGACAGCCCATACAGTGTGGCTACTACCAGGGTCAGGAAGGCCAGCAGGCCCAGTGGGGCCAGCAGTCCCTCCCTGGATGGGGCTCCAGGGCCCTTCACTGGAGGAAGGGGCTTGGGGCTTCTGTCCCCACCAAGGTTGCGGCGGGTGTTCCTGACTCTGGCCAGCGGTACAGTGGCTGTGGCAGAAGATGGCCTTGAGTTGGTTTCAGTAGAGGCTGTGACCACATACATCGGCTTGACAGTGCTGAAGGGCCTGGCATGGGCATCTACCCACCGCAGCAGGGCCCGAGGCCTCCACTGGCAGATGCTGAGCAGGGCTAGGACGTCGCCCTCGGCTGTGTGTGAGTCTGGCGGGGCCTGCCCGTACAGCCGTGTGTAGATGCTGCCCAGGCTGTAGCTCTTCCTCGGGCCGTGCTCTGAGGGGCTGCCATCTTGCTCCAGGGCCTTCAGGGCAGCAATGCTATCGGCACAGAAGGCGCCGTCCAGAGCACTGGCAAGGCCCAGCATAGACAGCTCTGCCCGGAGCAGGGGGAAGTCGTAGCGGTCACCGTTGTGTGCCACGAGGCACCAGGGCTGCGGCTGGCGTCGCAGGAAGGCTTGGAGCAGGTAGGCCAGGTCAGCATCGAAGCGTTGACGCCCATGTGCAGCCAGCTCAGCTGTGCTCAGGCCCGTGATCTCACTGGCTGCAGGGCTACAGGCCTTCCCTGGAACCACGCACAGGGAGAGCTTGTCCAGCACCCGGGGTGGTGGGGGCACCATGGGACGAGGCCCCTGACAGGTAGGAAGGCTCTCCAAGGCACATCTGTGGACAGCCAGCAGGCACAGCTCCGTAACCTTGGGCTGGGAGACGGGCAGACCAGTGGCTTCCAGGTCCAAGAAGATGAGAGTCTGCACGGGACCTGGGGGTGGGGCTTGTGAGCCCATGGTGGGTACTGCCACGGAGCCTGGGGAGGGGCAGGGGGTAGGGGTGGGTGTGTGAGTGCCCAATGACAGGGTGAGGCAGGTTGGGGTGGGGTGGGCAGGAGCACCTCGTTGGCCTTCCTTCCATGGACAGGTACTGTTGGTTAGCACCAGGACCCATTTTTCAGGGCAGGAAGCCAGAGACGGTAGGGTAGCTTCCTTAGTGGGACCAGCACACTCAGCTGTCTGTTTAGGGGAAGGTTTGGCTCCTCCCCAAGTGCTCGCTTCGTCTGGTGGTGGGGGCTGGGGCAGGTACCCATGGCCCTCCCACCCTACCCCATCCTCTTGGGGGTCCTTACTTACCACTGAGTGGCAGACAGGCAGCAATGACTCGGTGCACGCTCTCTGGCTGGTTCTTGCTGCTGGCAGCAGTGGTGGGAAGTGAAACTCAGCCTGAGCCCGCCCAGGGGCTGGTGTGAGCAAGGCCCGCCCTGCTCGTCAGCCTGCCCGGGCTGTCCCTCCCCAGGCACTCTGCGGTGCGGCCCCCAAGGCCTTCTCAGATCTGTAGCCGTAGGCCTGCGGGCTGGCCCATCCTACACTAGGGCCCTCACAGCCGGAGGACAGGGCTACTGCGGAGAAGTCTAGCTCCAGGGCTCCAGTCTGCTGGGAGTGCCTGCCATGTCTACCCACCCCTTGGCCCCACTTTCCCAGGCCTTCCTGGTTTAGGCCTTGGTTCTGGGCTGCCTCCTTCCCTGCCACACAATGGTTTCTTCCCATGGCCTCAGCCCAAGGCGATGACTCAGGACAATTCCACGGGCAGGGCAGGGCTCCTTCCTCAAAGCAGATTCATTACCATGGGGCTGGCTCTCAGCTCCGGCAGGGACAGGAAGAAGGATAGCAGCCTTCTCCGGGTCCCCCTCCTGCTCTGTCCCTCCCACTCAGCCGACACAGATCAGACTCAGGAAACAAGGCTGGCTTGTTCTCAAATAGCCAGTCACTGCTTTTAATCAGTGGATGAGGGAAGGAAAGAAGTGTTGGTGCCACCATGTGGCTTGATGGAGACAGGCCTCAGCCACAGTCCATCTCGTGGTCGTCCACATCGGTCTCCGCAGCACAGAGGTCATCGAGGGCTGCCTCTGAACCAGAAAAGACGAGGGTCCTGCGGTGAAGGCCTGAAGGCACCCGGACTAGGGGGAGTGTCCCACCTCTCCTCCCTGCCAGGCCCACAGGAACTAACCAGTCCCTTCCACACCCAGGCCTTGCTCCCTCAGCTACTGCAAGCAAAGTGATACAAAGGCAATTCAAATAGGGATGTTTCTGGAAAAACCGTGGCTCTGCCAGGCTGACTCAACAGATACAAGCAAAAGGCAGGCTGACAGACTCAGAGAAGACCCAGAGCGGGAAGACAAGAATGGCCCCAGTGCTGGCAGAGGCTGTGTGGATGGAGGGCTGCTGATCTACGGCCAGGAAGTCTGACTCGCCCACGGATTTGGGCACAAACCCCACACGTGGGCTGGAGCAGGAAGGGGCCCTGCCACTGCTCACCTTCACAGTCTGTCACGTCAGGAAGCCCTCGAATCAGCGTGCTGACCCCTGGCATCACCTGGTCATACTGATGCAGGACTTCCACGCAGTGCACAGTGAAGAGCTTGTCCTTCTGGGACAGGCTGTGCAGCAGCAGCACCGTGTCCCGCAGACACCGCACTGTCCGCTTCTGCTGGTCTGTCCTCGGGGGCCCCCCTGCCCTCCGCACCGTCAGCCACTGTCTGTGCAGCATCACTGTGAGTGCTCTGACCACCTGGGGGAGGGTGCAGACTGAGGTCAGGTCTAGTGGTGCCTGCTCAGCTGGGCAGCACCTTTCCCAGCCACCCACACAAGGAAGGTTCTGTGTGGCGGCACCAGGGTCTAAGCCTGGTGAAGGAGCAGCGGTCCTTGCACAAGGCCCCCTCACTCACCGACAGAGCTGCCCGCTGTCGGCCCGCCTGCCCCCGGCACTCACCTCCACGTTGCACTGGCAGCTGGAGCCAGTGACTGGGGAGGAGGGGCTCTGCACACCAAGCTTAGCCAGGAGCCACACAGCCTAGAACAAGAACAGACTCTGTTCCATCCATGGCAGAATGAGACCCTGGGCAAAGCAAGGGCTTTCTCAGGTTTCTCTAAGGGCTCCAGTTGCCTCAGCAACTGCTTGTCTGCACAAATGGGGTCCAAGAGGTGGTGTTGTGGGGTCTTTCCAGGTAAGACACAGGACTAATGCCTGTATCTCACTAAGACCCACCTGCTTCCAGGCTCACCTCTAGCCACCAGGCCTCAAAGCCAGGTTAGAATCAGTTATGAGGCAACCCTGCCAAGTCCTAGGGTACCCTGGGGTTCACCTGTACTGTATCTGTGTAGTTTGAAGCTCCCAAAGTGAGTTTACCTTGTTAGTGGCTAAACTCATTACCAAAATGAATGAAAGCTCCCTTTGTCCCCAGAGGAAGGAGGAAAAGTAGCCCTTGGTTTGGGTGGGGTGGGGTGGGTGGTGAGGAGTCCACCAAAGGGGCTCTGGCATTCTTACCTCTTGTTCCAGCTGAAGCCATTGTGTCTCTGAGGCTGCTCTGTCGGGCCTTGACGTGATGTACATGTACAGCAGCAGGAGGAGGCAACCTTCTGGAAAGGACACCCCACCTCTCACTCAGGGTCCCCCTTCTCACCCAGAACCTGGGGTACAAGCTGAAGAAGCCCTCAGGGGGCCTGTCCCTGCCACCACCCTTCCCTCCAACCTGCAGCAGCAGTCCAGACGCACACCCCTGGCCTGCTTTACCCGAGTGGGAGCAGAGCTGAGGTGCGAGCTTCTCGTGGTCCACCAGGAGGGACAGGAGCTCAACGGTTAGCAGCACACTAGGCAGGGGTGTCTCTGGGCTGAGGCACTGTGGCAGTACCCGGAACACACACTGGAACCTGAAACACAGGGGCCCAGAGATGTGACACCTCCAAACCAATCCTGTAACTCACCCTCACTTTGCACTGGAGGTAACAGGAAATTCAAGAGGCCAGGACAAAGAGACTTGATTCGGACAGCATGGGTTCAAATGGCAGCTGACCACCACCTGCTTGCTGATACTCATTTCCTGTGACTCAGTGACACTACTCATGTTGCATCGCATCCTGCTTTAGAGCCCGGGTAGCACTTGTCCCTGGCTTTCACTCTGAGGTGAACACCAAGGAATTTGGACGAGAAGCACAACACGGGAGGTGGCATCAGACAGTGATCAAGGACAGTGGCTCAGGAGCCTAATTAGCTTGAAACCATCCAGCACACTCCCTCTGGGGTTTCAGACAAGTTTCCCTACCTCAGCACGGGGTTTATTCACTCCACAGACACAGTGCTCACAGTGTGCAGCCCGAGCCAGTGAATAGGAGGCATCTGTGTCTGGCCTGCAGTAAGCACCCATTGTTTTTTGATGACATTGTGGACAAGCTCAACAGGGGTGGAATGATGATGTAATTACCAAGGGAACTGGTAAAAATGTGGTTCCTGGAATTCATTCATTCAAAAAATATGAAACAGGTGCAAGGATTTTTCAATATATGCAAATCAATCAATGCAATATACCACATTAACAAACTGAAGAATACAAACCATATGATCATCTCAGTAGATTCAGAAAAAGCTTTTAATGACGTTCACCGTCCATTTATGATAAAAACTCTCCAGAAAGTGGGCACTGAGGGACTATACCTCAACATAATAAAGGCCATATATGAAAAACTGCACAGTTAATATCATACTCAGTGGTGAAAAGGTGAAAGCATTTCATCTAAGATCAGTCCATTCTTGCCACTTTTATTCAACATAGTTTTGGAAGCCCTAGCCACAGCAACCAGAGAAGAAAAAGAAATGAAGGGAATCCAAATTGGAAAGGAATAAGTAAAACTGCCACTTTACAGATGACATACTATAGAAAATCCTAAAGACACCATCAGAAAACTGCTAGAGCTCATCAGTGAATTTGGTAGTTTCAGGATAAAAAATTAATATATAGAAATCTGCTGCATTTCTATACATTAACAATGGACTATCAGAAAGAGAAATTAAGGAAACAATTTGATTTACCACTGCATCAAAAAGAATAAAATACCTAGGACTAAACCTACCTATGAAGGTAAAAGACCTGTATTCCACAAACTTTAAGACACTGATGAGAGAAACTGAAGATGACACAAACAGATGGAAAGATATACTGTGTTCTTGGATCGGAAGACTCAGCATTGTTAAAATTACTGTACTATCCAAGGCCATGTACAGATTCAGTGCAGTCCCTATCAAAATATGAGTGGCATTTTTCATAGACCTGGAACAAATAATTTTAAAATTTATATGGAAACCCGAAAGACCCCAAATAGCTGAAACAATCTTGAAGAAAAGAACACAGCTGGAGGAATCATGCTCCCTGACTTCAAACTATACTACAAAGCTACAGTAATCAAAATGGTATGGTACTGGCACAAAAAATGGAACAGGATAGAAAGCCCAGAAATAAACCCACACACTTATGGTTAATTAATTTTCAACAAAGGAGGCAAGAATATACAATGGCAAAAAGACTCTCTTCAGTAAATGGTGCTGGGAAAACTGGACAGCTACTTGTGAAAGAATGGAATTAGAACATTCTCCAATATCATATACAAAGTAAACTCAAAGTGCCTGATCCACACCCCAGGTTCAAAGGCCTCTTGGTTCAGCCTTTGTAATTGGGGCAGGGCACTCTTCCACAGTGCCTAACAGCCTTCTTTTATCACGTGTGTCTTTTGCTTACCTGCTGTCCAGAGGTAGTATTTAGCCAAATAAACCACTTCCTTAGCTCTTCTAACACTTGGACCCAATTCCCATCTCTCCAGAACTCTGAGTTAAGCCTCAGAACCTAAACCAAGGCTTAGAGCTGAGCAGTATGGACAAGCCAAGATGGGAGAAAGAACAGGGGCTACAGGACAGACCTCAAGAGGTCAGGTAAGACACACAAGAAATCATGACTCCCATGCTGTGTTATACCTGGGCAGGAAATCGAAGGAAGCATTTTCAGCTAATTTCACCAAAACCTTAAGGCACTGGCTGAGGATACTGGCTTGAAGGTGACCTGTTGCTGCAGAAGATAAAGCCAAGAGCTGAAGAAGCATCTTCAATAGTGGATGCTGGCTTTGGTCATTGGCAAGCCCCCCTGGGGCTGAGGTCACATTCCCGTGACTATGTCCATGAACCAGACTCTGGTCTCCTTCCCTAACAGCAGAATCTGCACCAGCTCCTGACAGTAACTTGCAGACAACTGCTCCGCTGTGGCACACCAGGTGCTGAAGGATGTTCAGTGAAGCCACAGAGAAGCCTTCCAGGTTGCAAACTGAGTCCTCGGGGCTGGCCTCTACCCCAGAGCTCACGCAGTGGGGACGTGTTGGTGAGTCCCCAGGTGCTCCACTTCTTTTGGCTATTGCCAAATCCTGCAGAGCCTGGCAGTGTAAGCTGATGAAGAACTGTACCAGCGGGAGGAGATGCACTGCTCCAGGAAGCTGGCAGAGCGGGAAGGCCATTCTGCCTCCCTCTGCTGGTTCTCTGTCATAGGAGCCTTCATTTCTGGCCACCAGATTCAGTCCAGTCAGTGCCAGGTTCTGTGCTTCTCTCAGAGCCAAGAGGGGAAATGACCCATCGCGAGAACCTGTTGTCCTCAGGCCTGAAGTCCCAATCAAGGTACTAGCAACAGACACAAAAGAAAACACAGTGTGAGATGAGATAAGGTCAAAGGACCCAAAAAGCATGCCTGCTAAATTCTCTACCTTCCCTGCCCAGAGCACAGACCTCCCAGGCTGGTCAGGGCCAGACAGGAACCTGCTTCCCGGAAACTCCTTCCTAAACAAGACTCCTTTTAGGAGTCTTACGCTTACCTGCCAAACCCTGGTAGCTGCAACAAGGTGCCGGCAGGGGCTTCAGGACAACTGCTGAGGAGGTGGCACAGACCTAGGGATGACCCTGGGATCAAAGGCTGCTTCAAGAGAAGGTTTATCAGAATGGAACCTGCAGAAGACAAGGAGACTGTGGAAGGTTCTGACGTGGGAGGGCTTTTCTATGATGCCAGCTGTCCTCTAAGCTAGCACTAAGCCCGCTTGAGACGCCTGTGGATGCTGAAGGCTCTGGCATACTTGCTCTGTGCCCCTTCCATTTTACAGTCTTTTGCTTAATCCACAGATTACTACTCCCCTGGGCCCCCTAAAGGACTGCCTAGGGTGTTGGACCTGAGAGTCTCGGACAGTTCCTTGGGCAATTCCACTGCGGCACTGCAGAGGATGACAGGACCCATGTAGGTCTCCTGCAGAAGGAGCAGGGATTCTGGTACCTTGAGTGTTTGACTTCTGCATCCAGCTGCCAACAAGACTTTTCTGGGACTCTTCCTGCTTTATGGGGTCACCTCCCAGACTATGGATCTTAGTCTCTGAAACTAGATAAAATGTGAATCAAAACTTGAAGACAAAAGCACCAGCATATCAGAAACTCTTAAATGTAACAAGTTTAAATCCGTGTTTCACTTCAACTTTGGATCAAAACAAGAGCCAACACAACTCAAGAACCTTCACATCTTTGCCATCATCATATAAAACAGGAACTTGCATAAGGAAAAGAAAAGAAAATTAAATTGTCTGTCCCACTTTAAAATCAGGCAATGACATAAAAGCAGTAACCCTAACATTTATATGGTTCTTGTTATGTGCCAGACACTGTTCTGAGAGCTTTACACACACTAGCTCACTTGTTCCTCACAGCAACCCTACCAGGAGGTATCATCATTAACTCTGTTTCACATCTGGGAAACCTGAGGCACAGAGGTTAAGGGACTCGCCCAAATTATACAAGCCAGTAAGCAGTGTGACTGGACTCACAGCCAGGCTGGTGGGCTCTGCTGCCTGGTCGTAACACTACCCTGTAACTGCTCCTGAAGTTGCTAGACGCCAAAAATGTGAGTAGCTGTGATTCTCAGGGGTGGTGGTGATGGCCAGTGATTTGAGAGGGTTTTTGGTGGTAGGAGAGAGGCAATGTATCTGAACTGTAAGATAAACTGGCACAGCACAATCTTAGAGTGAAAACCTACTAACGCTAGATTGTCTCTCTCTCTAGAAAGCGGTAGCACTCCCTCAGTCTGGACTCGCTGTACAAACTCAAGGCTGGGCTGTGAAAGGAGCCCACGTTCCTGCCTACTAGCCGCGTTTCTGGTATGTTAATGGATGCTGACTGTGGAGGTTTTAAAATATACCTGCAAATTCTTTGACACACTTCCATTCAAAGGGTGCAGCCTAGTTTCCTTCCTCTTAAACATGGCCCAGACTTAGTGACTCACTTTTAACAAACAGAATGTGTAGAAGTGATGCTATGTGACTTCTGAGGCTGGGCCATAAAAAGGACAGCGTCTACCTAGCTGTCTCTCTGGATGTGCTAGCGCTAGAGGAAGCCATCAACCAGGCTATGAGGCCAGCCAAGTAGCCCTGTGGGGAGGCCCACATGTGGAGAGGAATTCCACTGCCAGCCATATGAGGGAGCCACTTTGAATTAGACCCTCCACCCCTGACAAGCCTTCAGTGATTCCAGTCCTTGCAGAGACAAACCATCCCCACTGTGCTATCAGAACTGCTGACCCATGGAAATGAGAAAAACAAAAACAAAAACAAAAACAAAAACAACTCATTGTTTCAAGCCACAAGTTTGAGTAGTCTGATACAGAGCAGTGGATGATGGATAGACTGACTTACCCTCTCTGGCCACCAGGGACTTGCATCCTGGCTCTGTCTGGCATGGATGGGGAAGGGACATGTTAGCACTAAAAGACTCCTTTGTCGGGAAAGGCGGTTTTCCAAATTGTGGAGAACAAGCTTCTGGCTTTACAACCACAGAAGGGCTTTTCCTAGGACTGGAAAAAGTTAACTATGAAAGCAAATTAATGATTATGCTAACACCATTTAAAATACTTGGTTATAAAACCTCTAACAAGACTTAAACTTTTCAGGTCTATGTGACGTGACCAAAAAGTTTTATCTGTTACACATTTGTCATTCTTTGTCAGGAAGCAGTGCAAAGTTTAAAGCATTTTGATCCAAATTGTTGAAACATAATCTTTGATTTATTTCCATGTTTTTCTAATTACCCAAAAGCATTGGCTGTAATTCCATTACTGTTTCTAATTCCACTAAAACACCTTTTCAATTTGAAACAAACTTTTTTTAATTGAAGTAAATTGCTATACAATATTACATAAGTTACAAGTGTGTAATGTAATGATTCACAATTTTTAAAGGTTATACTCCATTTATAGTTATTAAAACATGTTGGCTATATTCCCCAGATTGTACAATACATCCTTGTAGCTTATTTTATATCTGATAGTTTGTACCCCTATTCCCCTATCCCTGTATTGTCCCTCCCTTCTCTCCTCTCCCCACTGGTAACCATTAGTTTGGGACAACCTCTTTTTTAATAGTCAGGGACTGAATTCAAAGATTTTCAGTAGAAAGAGGATCTAGTAAAAGGTATGTTGTGTCTTGCAACATG